TAAATTAACATCCTGCAAAGTTTCAATAAAAATTTCCAAGTTTTTCTTACAATTTCCGTGGTTTTTATTCAATTTTTTCCAATACCGATAATATCCCGATATTTCCTGCGATATTTCCGTGTTTTTTGACTTCCGATATTTCCGATACCTCCGATATTTAAGACCTTGGTTGAGACAATGGGAGACGTTGATAACGATACATTCAACAAGATGCTAGAAAAGATAGTGCTTGTTGAATGGAGGAAAATATTTGTTACAATGCCAGCAACAAGGAGGAGAGCGTGGTTGGCTAGTCTTTAGGATTACTACTTATGTTTGTTGTTGAGAGGATATTTATGAATTGTTCTTGTTATTATGTTTGATGTTTGTGACTTTAATTTGTATGGATGTTTGTGACTTTAATTTGTATGCATATTTGCAGATTTTTGTGAATTTAATTTGTATGCATATTTGCGGATTTTTGTGAATTTAATTTGTATGCATATTTGAAGGTACTGGACATGTCTACAAGGAATGAAGACAATCACTCTGATAGTGATTCAGATCTTGAAGAAATGGCGCATCATATGATAATTTGTATGCATATTTATGAATATTGGCAATCATATGTAGATAGAACTCCATGTCATAACTCTGTTTTATCTGGGCATGAATATGTTCAAGAGTTGTTGAATGGGCATCCAGATAGGATTTATGACTCATTTCGCATGGACAAACATGTATTCCAAAGGTTGTGTTACACACTTGAGAGTTTAAATTTGCTACAGAATGATAGACATGTGAGTACTCAAGAGGCAGTGGCAATTTTCTTATTTATAGTGTCTCATAGTATCCGCATGCGAGTGGCTGTTGAGCGTTTCCAACGATCTAAAGACACTATTCATAGACAATTTAAGCGTGTTTTGGGAGCTTTATGTGCATTAGCACCACGCATTATAAGACCACAAAGTCGAGGGCAAACACCTTCTCAAATTTTGAATAACCCGAAGTATTATCCTTATTTTGAGGTAAGAAATTGATTGTTTTATTTATTTAATTACTAGAATTATATATTTTAAATGATATTTACTTTAGTTTCTAAATATATGAATTTATGTCAGAAGTGTATTGGTGCAATTGATGGAACTCATGTTGCTGCTTGGGCACCAGCTCAAAAGCAAATCTCATATCGTGGTAGGAAGATCCTTATTACTCAAAATGTCATGTGCGCTTGCTCTTTTGACATGATGTTCACTTTTGTTTATACGAGCTGAGAAGGGACTGCAATGACTCTAGGGTGTTCATAGATGCAGTGATGAGGCCAAAAAATGAGTTTCCTTTTCCAGATGAAGGTATAAACATAAGATTACAATTAATGTTATTATGTACATTATTTGTGTCATGCAAGTAATAAATTAAAATTACAGGGTATTACTATGTTGTGGATGCTGGATATTCAAACGTGCCTGGATTCTTGGCACCCTACAGAGGTTTGAGATATCATTTGCGTGATTATAGAGGACCTCGACGAGCACCAAGAGGTCCTATGGAGTTGTTCAACTATAGGCATTCCTCATTACGTAATGTAATTGAGCGGTGTTTTGGTGTTTTGAAAGCTCGTTTTCCAATTTTGAAATTGATGCCTAATTATCCTCCGAGAAGGCAACGACCAATTCCTATTGCATATTGTGTGTTACATAATTTTATAAGAAAAGAAGCTCGTCGTGATAAGATGTTTGAAGAGTTTCAAGTTGAAGACATGATCATTGATTCAGAAAATACAACAACACCGAATATAGATATGTCTGCAAGAAATATTGCACAAATGGGTGACATTAGAGACAAGATCGCAGCGGATTTGTGGCGGGATTTTATTTAGTGCTCATGACAACATGATTTTAAATTTTATATTGCATATTTTTCAAATATTTGTGAGACTATGAGAGATTTGATCTATGATTTAAGATTATATCTTGGAGGACATGAGACCATTTTGGGTTAGCTAATGCACGTATTGGATAATGATAATTAATTTGACCATTGCACAATTTTAAAGAATGTTTTTGGCTTATTAATAAGCCTGATAAGATATGTGCTACACAAAATATTTGATTTATGATGTTGAAACTAATTTTTACAATACTGTTGCCGAACGCATATTCACTGTTTTTGTCATTTTCATATGTTCGTACCGGACACGTTTTCACTGTTTTCGTTCTCGGAAAATGTTTTCCAGTTAGCATACCAGACGCATTCTCAAATCTTGAAAATGCAAATTCGTTTTCTCGTTTTCATTTTCTGAAAACATTCTCCGAAAACATTACCGAACGGACCCTAAGTTTTTGAATACCACAGTACTTTTTCTTATGTTTTAAAAGTCCTAATCGAATACCACCGGACTTGTATTGATTATTTAAAAATCCTAATTGAATAACACCAGACTTGCTTTTTTATCAATAATAGCCAAAATTTAACCCCCAAATTCATAAATGTCAGTTTTTATTAAAACTTTCAAATATAGCCAAAAAAACCCACGTAAATAGACGAAAATGCCCTCAAAATTTAAATAACCTAAAAACATAGTTCATCTCCATGAGGACCATATCAGTTTTTATTCGATGTGTCTTCTCTGCTTCACAAGCTTATATTGCCATCTTGCTTATAAACTTAATTCATGTTGAGATTCATGATGGGAAGAGTGACAAAGAGATTTATAAGAAACTTGAAGAGGATTTTGGGGAGATAGTACTTTGTTCCCCAAAGTTTGATCTGCAGACTGTACTTGTGGTATCACCGCTTCTGATTGCTGCTTTTGCTGGTGTTAGAGGAGTTCCATTAACCCCAAATAAGAAGCAAACCATGTTAGACCTCCTCACACTGCCGCCTTCACGAGGTAATAGTCCCTCGTGATGGATAGAACAATGATGTGCCTTCTTCCACATGCTTTCTTTTCATTTTGTACTTTGAACTTAGGGATGAAACTAAGAAACTATGGAACAATGGTGTGCCTTCTTCCAGATCAGACATTCTTTGTATCAATTCAAGGAAGGTCAAAATGATTTGTTTTATTTATATTTGTGATTCATGATCATATTTGTGATTCATGATCAGCGATACAAGCTATAGATGCAGTTTTTTTAAAATTTAATTTATTTCCTTTTTTAATGTAGATTTATTTGATTTTTAATTTGAATGGCATTTGAGTTAATTTGAATGGCATTTTGGCTATATTTGAGAGTTTTTATAAAATCTGACATTTATGAATTTATGGGTTAATTTTTGGCTATTTACGATAAAAACTCGCTTTTAAGTCTCTGTTTTCTAAAAGCATAGGCACGCCAAAGATTTGTTTACATGCACAGGACTCATCAGAGCATGGAAGTAAATTCAGAAGTATTGGCCTGAAACACTTAATAACTCCTTCACGAAACTCTTCTGACGCATCAGATGGAGAAAGCAAAACCCCATAAGTCAATTTTTCAGCACTACAACCATCTGCAAAAGGATATTATTGCACTTCAAATGAAAAGACCAGCTTCAAGAGGTGATGCAAGTATAACGTTCCTGTTCTAGGACAATAATTCACATGAGCAAACTCATTCACACAACATATAAGCCAATTTTGAACTTATAGCAAAACCATACACTTTTTTTTATAGGAAATATAACATTCTATTAAGCGTGAGAAGGCACAAAATAAGACACACAATGTCTCCATCCATGCAAAGAATACAAATAAGCTGATTGCAAGGGGGGAACATTACAATCAATTCTCCATCTTTTCTACATGTCCCAATTTGAAGGTTTATAACATTGACAGATTACAAATGTAATGTTACTTATAAGCAAACCCAATCAAACAGATCAAAGGGACATAATGTTGGATCATGTAATATTATTGATCTTGACAAGAAATTATCTTACAATATGCATCACAAGGGCTATAGCTCAGTTAGGAATAGCACCTTGTTTACACACATACCAAATATTTTTCAGTCCATCAGTACATAGATTTATTTTGGATGAAGAACAGCAACAATTATCCTATTAAAGTTTGTTTAATAAAACAGTAATTAGTAAATCTACATGTACGTAATGTGGAACAGGTCCAAGCAATGTCAGTGAAATTGGATTACCTGATCTACAGATCCTAAAAGACACTTCTTGAGAAGTTCCTCCAGCAGTGAAGCACACCTTCAGCAACACTATCACTCACTTTTTGGGGCATTTTTAGGACATTAGCGCTCACAACTTTTTCTTTGGAACCAAGCTTCTTTGAGGTTCTACAGTCGACAGTCGCATCCAATAGAAGCAGCAAGGGAAATAATGTATAGCTGAAAGGTAAACAAAGACGTCAAGAAAATATGCTTACTGATGCATACATAATTATACACACACATTTTGAATTATTTTACAAGTTTTTAGGACAAGTATAAATGATAAAACCATGTTTCCTCGGGTGTGGATCACCAGGAACAAGATTCATTATGGAATTGAACAATGAGACATGAAGTCCACTAATGACAAAGTGAAGATTTTGCTCATCCACCACCCAGATCATATCATATCATATAGCACTCAACTAAATTCAAAAACAATTTGAACAAGAACGATGTAATTTGTGCACTCTGACCAATGAGTATAGCTCGGATAGGCTGAGATAAAGTTATGTGCAAATGGGGTGAGGAATTTGGCTTCCTACAATACACAACAACCAAATTCCGTCAACTCCATTAACTCACCCAACCTTCGAACATTTTAGCAACCACTAAAACTCAAGTTACGGATGATTCATCCAACAGTCAAAAGCTCACCTCACCGTTATATACTTATGCATACAAGTATATAAAGACTAAAACATGCACATTTAAGCAGATATATATAATATAAAGAGAGCTTCTATTGAGGGATCCCTCAAATAACTTATTTGAGGCACACTCGTTGTAGGGCCCACTTCGGATTGTATTTCACTAATCCAAATCGTCTATTTTGTAGATACTCATTCAAAGTTCATCTCTACAAAAAATCACTTGAATCCGATATCATTTGACTGCTAAAATATGAATATGGGTTTGAATATGTTAGGTTAATTTTATTCTTCTCCATAAGGAGGTATATATAAGGATTTACATAAATGCTTTACAAGGAATTAGATACAGTAAAGAATTAGGAAAGTATCTTCTAATTATACAATGATTTATCAATTATATAAAATAGGAAAGTAAATCCCTTAATTAATCAAGGAAATAAATCTCCTTGATTAATTAGGAGACTCACATCAACACTCCTCCTCAAGTTGGTGCATATACATCACCAATGCCCAACTTGGTAAGTGAGTCATGAAATACTCCTCCCCAAGACGGTGCAGTCGGAATAGCAGGACTTACAGGATCTGCGGCTGAAGATGTGTTGAGTGATTTGCTCCTATTCTTGCGAGGAGCTTTGGAGTGGTCCCACCAATCCGGGTACCCAATCAGTTCGTAACAGCCAGCACAGGTATGTTTGCTTCCACCACAATGAGTGCATTTGTGCTCCGGACGAGAGCTTGTGACTTGAGTATGAGAAGTGCCACTGGTAGAGGGCGGAGGGCCCCGTGGACGTTGAGTGGCCAGGACCGCAGTGTTTGGAGTACTGGCCATGGTCAGTCGTTGTTGAGCTTCGCGACGTACATATGCAAAGGTTTGGTCAAGGTCTAATTTGGGATCTTTGCGCAGGATTTCCCCTTGGACTTGATCAAACTGAGGGTCGAGCCCGGTAAGAAAAAGGTGAACACGAAGGCGATCCAGTTCTGTCTGGCGATCAATCGCGTCGGCGTCGCAGTGCATGCAATTCGGAGTGCGGTGATCAATCTCCTGAAAGATGGTATGCAACTGGTTGTAGTATTTGTGGACAGGTGCACCATTCTGTTTAATGGTGAATGCCCGTTTGTTGAGATCAAAAAGGAAAGTTTCATCCCCACCATCAAAGTAGGTTTTCCTCACAGCATCCCATATTTCTTTTGCAATACTGAAACAGATGAAATGACCCATCAAGTCGGGAGACATGGAGTCGATGAGCCACCCCTTGACCCGAAAGTTCTCCGTACACCATTTGTTGTAGGTGGAGGAGAGCTTAGAGGGTTGCGGAGCGTCGCCGATGAGGTACCCCAATTTGTTGCAGCCAGCAATACGTAACTCCATGACTTGAGACCATAAGGCATAATTAGTCTCTGTCAAGATGATGCTGGTAGGAAACAGAGCATTGTCACTATGAATAGTAACAATTTGGGAGGATGGTGGAGTGGAGTCGGTGGTTTTGGAAACAATATCCATGGCAGCGGAAGGATGTAAGAATAAGAGAAAAAAAATATGTGTTGAGGGTTTTGTGATAAGAGGATATTAGGATTTGGGTATGAAGATCTGAATTTGAATTTGTAAATATGAGAAATTGGATTTAGGGTTTGTGTTTGAGGAAATTTGATATGAGGATTTAGGGTTTGTGTTTGAGGAACTTTGATATGAGGATTTAGAGACAACCGAGGATCGATTGCTCTGATATCATGCTAAAATATGAATATGGGTTTGAATATGTTAGGTTAATTTTATTCTTCTCCATAAGGAGGTGTATATAAGGATTTACATAAGTGCTTTACAAGGAATTAGATACAATAAAGAATTAGGAAAGTATCTTCTAATTATACAATGATTTATCAATTATATAAAATAGGAAAGTAAATCCCTTAATTAATCAAGGAAATAAATCTCCTTGATTAATTAGGAGACTCACGTCAACATTGACCACTCAATTGAGTTATTGAAATTTAATACTTTCTTGAAGCACCGTGTTCATTAATTTTGTAGGACACAATTGGATGTTGAAACCGTTTCCGATTTGTCTAATTTTTTTTGTAAGGATGATCTATAAATGAAGACCTAAAAAATAGATGGTCTGGATCATTGGAAAAAAAAAATTGTAAAGTACCCTAAAGGGCATCCCTCAAATAAAATTATTTGAGGTCATTTGAGGGATCCCTCAATAGGGGGACATATATATATATATATATATAAACATGTAGATACATATTTTAGAAAGCTTTCTGCTCATGATGGCATTTAAGCATAGAAAGGCTGCAAATTTCAAGCAAAGGAGCAACGAAGAGAGAGCAGAGGAGTGCTTCATAGGGTTTTGGAGAAGCTCCAAAAGCTCAAAGCAGTAGGCTTTTAGCTGCATAAACACTCTGCTTCTTTCTTCCTCCGTTGGGTCAAAGCTTTCATCGATTTCCACCATTGCAGACTGCAGAGAGAGGACAATGGGGACTTGAAAACCGCGAAATAGAAAGACGGTTCTAGGAGGAGTTTTTATTTTTATTTTTTGGAATTTTGCATAAATACTGATTGAACTGAACTTTTAATTTTTATTTTTAACCTCCTAAACTTTGTAAAATGTTCCAATTCACCACCTATATTTAGGAGGGTGAATTCAATTTAGATTTTAAATGATTTTAAAGAGTTATAAAGTTGATGGAGTTTAATTGAATTTCATTGATACAAACTCCATGTTTGTGCAAATAATCTCTCGGGAGAATATTCACTTCTAGATCCTTCCTTGTCTCTCTTTCTCGATTCCTGTCAAAAAAAGACCGGAGTAAATAGACCACACCCAGGGGGTGTTGGCCAAAGGCCCTCTGATGCCTAAATTAGTTCGATTGAATCTAGGTGAAACAATAGCTAAAAAGGGTATGGAGATTTCTCTAGGGTGAGAAGGTGGCCAGAGCCATGTGGAGAAAATATAGAGAGAGGAGAGTGGAGAGGCCGGTGACAATGATGTTGTCGTCGGCTAGGTTGAGAGAGGGAGAGAGCTTCAAGTATTTTTCTAGGGTTTTTGAAGTACCTTGAATGATGAATAAAGCCATCTATTTATAGGAGCCTCGGAGGCTAGGGTTTCGTAAAGAATAAAACTCTTATTAGGAATGAGTTTATTCTTTCCCCAAATTGCAGAGATTGAGTCCATTAGGGATTTGATTGGGATCCAAATCTCCTAATTTGATGATGATAATATCTCTTTATTAGGACAATATCTA